AAGCTGCAAATGCTGATCCATCTGTCGAGATGGGAACAACAAAAATATCAAATTTCGACATTCTCAATGATTGTTGGAAATCGCTCCTTATAGAAAACATAAAAATTGAATAATGCTGTGCAAAAAATCTCCTAAAGCAAATAAATAATAACCACTGAGCCAGGATATTCCATATAGAGCAACATACTATATGTCAATATGATTTGAACCTTGATTCAAGGAGCAATGGTTATTTGTTTTTTAATTGATTTTTCATTTTTTAACCATCGCCTTCCTTGTCAAAGTAGGCCAGGTAGAGACCTTCGAAGCTGAGAATTATATTTTTTTTTTCTAAGAGAGAAATCACAAACTCTGACCACGTGGCAGTGTTTCTTTAATTAGACTCTTCGGTCCAATTTTCCTCCTTGGGAAACTGCAAAAGGAAGAATTCTATACCAGTGAAGAGAAAAGGAAGAATGATTTTACAAAGAAGTTTCCTTTGTATGGTAGAGAGAATCCCCAGTTTTCTTCTTCTTTGGTGTCTGCAAGCAAGAAGGCTGTGCATTCATCCCCAATCTCTTAAGATAGCTGGGTGGTTGGAGGTGTGGTTACTGAGCTTTGAGCACAGTATTTTAGTGATGAGCAAGAAGAAGTTGGTCACTCTCGTTTCATAAGCAATATTTAAGTCCTAGAGTTGGATATTGGGGTCATATGGATTAAAAGACGGAGCCTTCTTAGGCATTTCTCTCCTTCAATAGAATTAGTTATTATTGGTTCTAGACCTTGTGTACTTTATTTAAAGGCCACTCCCTGCTTATTGGAGATGATGAGCCATTATGAATATTCTGTCTACTTCTTTGGTGTAGATCCCTTTAACTTGGATAGCACCTTCTGGTGTAGTTTGAATCTTTAACTCATTGATTATCACAGAATGCACAAGTTTAGGCACATAAAATTATTATTTTCTAGCAATAAATGAATTTAAAGTTTCAAAAAACAAATCAAGAGTTAGCTCACCTTAACCATCCTCTTCTCTTCAGCTGAAATACATTATCAACTAGATTCAATACCGGTACACTAACATTCGGAGGTGTCCACTGCAAGAAAATCAATTGCAATCATTTAACAAATGTTCGTAGGAGAAACAAAGATTATGCAAGAGGATGAAGCAAACAAACAAACATTGTGTGGTTCAGCCATACGGATGTATGAAAGATTTAGTGGCAAAGAGTTTTGATTAGATGCTCCAAGAGAAACTTGCAATACAAGATCAATGGAAACTTTCTTATTATGCACAACAAATAAATAGAAACTTTCTTACAATGCGCAACGCCATCCTAAGTTCCTCACTTCTCTAACTCGTACAATCAACTATGTTATCTAATTTTAGCTTTTCGAAAATTCCAAGTCTTACTCTAGGGGTCTCTTATACCAGTTCCCTAAGTTGAAATCATATAATGCTTCTGCAGGTGGAGGCAAAGTCATTTATGTACACAGCAAGACAAACATGCAATCCCTCCTTACGGGCCACATGATGCATAAAGTATAAAATTGAATACTAGACATGTGAACCTGGACAACTTAGGCCAAACAACCAATACCTAGCATTCTCTTGAGTGCTTGGATTCTAATATTACAAAGGGTACATGTTTCTTTAAAAAAAAAAATTCTCGGCACACATTAGATTCACCCCTTACGTCCATGATTCTAATCTAGCCAAAGTACACACTTAAAAATCCTTGATTCATACACACCAATTTGTCATATCATTTGACTGGGTATTGAACTCTTTTATTAACAAAAGGTCCTTCGAGTAACATCTACCATCCATGTAAAACCCATCGCCTGCTACAGCACATTGCTATAAAACCTGTAGTCCTATCCAAATCAACATCCAATAATCTACACCAAGTACAAATCCAGTATTACAAGGTGTCATTAAGAAAAAGCTATGGACACCCTACACTAGAAAGGCCATCTGTTATGAATAAAAAGGAGAGAAACTATCCCAGCTAAGTGTGCCATACCTCGGGAGGCATTCCAACAGGATCTTCCAAGCGATCAGAGGATGTGGACAAGTTTGCAGCATGGGACCCTTGTTGTCTTTCAGATTTCACCTCTGAATTATGTGTCTTCTCCAAAAGTATATTCTCAGTCTCGTCAACATTTTTAATTGTTTGATGTGAAAAATCTCTGGAGTTCACTTCATTGTCAGAATGCCATCCATTAGCTTCTGCCATAGCTCTGTCTTCCTCATGGTCATCCCTTCCATCTTTATCTACTCCATCATTATCAGAAGTACCATTCACTGCTTCTGAAATATGTTGGCTATATTTGCTCATCTCATCTGCATTACAGGAAAAGTTCCCGCTGGACATTGGAGAATAGCCTTCATCAAGGGCAGAAGATGGACCAACTACCTTACGCATGAAACCATCAGAAACTCCTCTGAATTGACGTACAATATCATCCACGGCATCATCAACATTGACTGCATAATTTCAGGAAAAAAAAAAGATGAAAAGAGGAAAGCATCCCAAAGAAAAGTCAGGTAAAGAAACCCTAATGAAATTTATTTCAGAAAGCAAACTCTTTGAGTAACAAAAAAAAAAAGATCGCATGGAGATTCTTCCAAAAATTAAGAAACAGGAAGCAGAATTTCTTCCTGCAAGAATTTTCCAGGCGCTTTGGCTTTTAGAATTGTAATATTAATAATCAACTATTTTATTAAGAAAGTACAGTGAGGAGCCGCTGATACACTACTTTCTCTCTAACATGTTGCAATAGAACATGAAGCAACTCTTCACTCCTTTAAAATATTCTACAAAATAAAATCAATATATTATGAGGTCATCAACACAGTTAGTTTCAAAAGAACGAAATAAAAATGGAGGCGAAAATAATTGCGATAACAAATATAATCATCTTTTTTATTGGGATCCTTGATTTACAGCAGCCACAAGAAGCCAGTTCTCATATTGCTAATTTAATTGGTAAAAGCATTTGTTGTGAGCAAAAACTTGAGATTAGATCCCACTTGCAGACACTTATGTAATTTTGGCAACTGCTTGTGTTACCACAAGCCAACTTTGTAAAACTTCTCAGATTATGTTCCAATTACCAGAAAATGGAAAATGGAAGTTATTAGACAAAAAAAATGGGCACAGGCTACAAGAACAAACACATACCTGCCAGGGTTCTCATCACCGATGAAGATTTTCCAAAAGAGTAATTCTTCAAAAGAGAAGGCAAATATGATAGATATTCAGATATCAGCCAGCCTACCAAAAGATCAACAGAAGCAAATGTGTCAAAAGTGCACACCTTTGAGGAAACACTTAGAAAATCCCAGACTTCATGCTGTTCAGCAACATTAGCTATAGACAAGAGATCCTGCAAAAAAGCAGCAAAATTACAGCAGCAGTAAAGTAAAATAACCCGACAATCTAAAATTTGCCAGGGATTACTCGTAGATATTTGTCAAGCTGAATGCAGCGTTGATGAACAAAAGCATCCTCGGTGCTTGATGAGAATATCCTTTTTGGAGGCAAATGCAGTGTATAATTTGGAATTTCTTTAAGATGACGATGCAACCGTTCAAAATTGCTGTATCTGCAGCAAGATAAATAAGAAAACAAAATTAACCCAAAAGAGTATATAGTAATGCTAGAGAAACTAATCTGAAATCTTCAGAAGCTTGTAATAAATATAAAAATTCAAAATTTGAAAATACAAGGAAACACGGAAACTTGTAAATGACATATACTTTTCAGATGAGAAAAAAACCTTCTTTTGACAAACCAAGTTCTTTTTTCTGCATCTGTTACTGCAATAGAATAAACTGCGAAGGATTTTGACCCAAGCTTCTCAAAGTAGGCTCCCATAACCTGCAGGGATAAAGATAGATGATAAAATAGTATAATTTTTTTAAAAAAAGTCCAATATGATTGCAACTCTAGGAAACAAAGCCCAACAAGATGCTCAAATTTGAATTGTGTCCCATAATGGATCTACCAGCAGATCATTGTCAAATTTGTGCATCTCACAATAATTTCTGAGTTGAGCACTCACCCGACACCTGAGCTTGGGAGCATGCAGTCCCTCACTTTGGAGAATTAGGTTTAAGGTTTTCTTGCTTCCATGTTCGTCATTATGCTTGACAAAATCTGGGTTGTAGAACTCTGTAATAATGGGCCCTCCAGCATCTCCTACAAAAGCCTTTTTAAGACCAGGTTGTGGTTTCAAATCAGAGGTACTATTGGATCTCTTAAGCCTATTTTTATTTCCATCAGAGAGACAATCAATCGCATTCTTTTCATCATTGAGAAGCCCCCCCTCAAATGATGACGCCTTATTAAAATCCTGAGGCGACAATTTCCTGTCCTTGTTCGCATCATCTAATTGAATGTCAAGATTCAATCCCATTTCCTGCCCAGCCATCGCTTTATCTTCTGCTCCACTAGAAGTCCTAGACCTGTCAATATTCATTTCCTTATCCACAGGCCTAGTTGATACTGAACAATTTATTGTGGAGCCCTTTTCTACGGCCTTCTTGTACTCTTTCTTTTTATAATTTCTTCCCTTTGTCCACATGTTCTCAAGATTCTCAGGAGTAAGAACTTCAGTTCTCCTCTGGGTTGCAGCCTCTAGCATTCGTGCCCAATCAGCAGGCTGTGGATGTACAGCCTCTTCTTCATATGTTTTATGATCCATGGGTAGTTTTTTCCCATCATCGAATTTAGCCAGAGTCATATCAGCCTCTTGATTATTAGATGATAGGCCCTTTTGTGATGTAGAGACACAACTATGTCCCTCCCCAGTAGAACGGCCAAAACTCCCAAAAATACCATCTTTTTCAGCACTAATGGCAAGGACAACTAATTCAATCACCTCATTCACATACCTGATTTAGAAAAAAAAATTAAAAAGAAAAAAGAAGTTGCTGTCAAAATGCACATAAAGAATAACTAAGCTGGAAAGCACGGATTTATTTATGTGACATTTCAGTATTCTAACTGCTTGGTTAACTGACTAAACATGAAGGAAGGTTGAATGTAATTGCTATTACAAGTGAATTGCTACTAATGTCTTTGGTTGAAACTGAAACCATTTTCCATGGATTGCCATTCCTTAAAATAAGGAAAACGCTATTCCTAATACTTATCCCGTGAACTTGCAATTCAGGACAAGATAAAACTTTGGAGACAAGATTACCCTCATAGCATTTTCAAAATTACCAAACCCTTAAAGCTGAAACTGCACCATCCAAGACTAGAAGCAGCATCATCAGAGTCTGTGCTGGTGTAGTAGCAGGTATAGCCTAAGTAATCAGAAAAGTTTGGCAGTGAAAGGTCTCTTTGAGCGAGTCACAGATGAAGAAAGAATGAGCTAAGGAGGGAGAGAGAGAGAGAGAGAGAGAGAGAGAAAGAGAAAGGAAGAATGAGGATTTTGATGATGGATAAAGAGAAAGTAACATTGAAGATGCACTGAGGTGAGGGGTGGAGGGGTGCATGAATGGTAGGAAATGGAGATGTTACTGCAGGGTTGATGGCAAGGAGCAATCATGAAGATCAAAGATGGCAAATATCGATGGTACTAAGGATCTAAAGTTCTGAATTCTTTTTAAAACTAAAATCCTGCCCTTTGATTTTTAGCTTCTATGGCTGATTCTCTTCTTTTATTTTTTCTAGAAATAGTTTCTAAAGGATTTGAGGAGCTCCTTTTGATTTTAGGTTGATTAGTTTCTAATGGATACTATCATAATTTTTTATTTTTTATCTTTTACGGTTGAAGTTTTTTTTCCTCTTTTTGTTTAAATACTTTTAAATTAACAACTTTGGTTTTGAAGATTTTTAAGGATTTTAATCCATTAAGATTTTTGTATATTATGTAATAAAATATTAATTTTGAATTAACATAGGATTATTATTAACAAAAAAATATAGGCTTATTTTAGTCATTTTACAATTTTCCCACTTCAATCCTACACTATCAGTCACATATAAACCAATGTAATGTAACCATAATTATATTACAACCTCATTCTACTTCTACCGAATAGTTATTCCATCTTATCCTCATTACATTCAATGAACCAAACGTGCAGTAAACGGAAAAAGAATAGAATGAGAATTATGATATTGAAAAGCATTTTGAAGGCATCTCTCCTGAAGAACACAAAGTTATCACTCAATTTTGCATGGATATAAAAGAAGCTAAAGAGTGCTTCTTCTTTTTTTTCTTTTGGAGGGAGAGTTTAAAAAGAGGCCAAAGTGTTTAGAAAAACAAATGGAATACCAAATATGAAGCAAACGAAATAACACCTGAATGCTAAAATTAGGAGATCATTCCGAGCAACAATTGACCCATATATACAATCACCATAGAGCCTTTCAAGTAATAAGAGAGCTTCGCAAAAGAAACTTGAATCTCTGAAGAAATTTAATCACCCTATCCAAAAAAAGTGCAGCAATCACCTAGCATGCAGCAATCACCTAGGTAACTTTCCTTCAAATAATTTAAGTAATCTACATAAAAGGAAGACCAGGAACCAGATGTTTATATTCAGTGAAGGTAACAAGAATTTCACTGTTACCAAACTACTCTATGACAAGATCTTTCTTTTTTTTTCCTTTTGGGAGGGGGGGCACCTGGAAGGGAGAGGAGGGGAAGGGGGGTAATATCTTCTATTTTTATATCTAAAAAGGATAGGTTTCCATTGCCCATTCGCATTGTTCTCCTGAATCATATAAGGAGGACTAACTTGTCCCGCATTTCAATATATTCTCGAGAGAATTTAATGATGAGAGATACTGGTGCTAGCTGATATGGTGAAAAGAAGAAAAAAAAATGGAAACAACTTACACAGGGCTTGCAAAGTTCATAATAGGTTGCAATACCAAGCAAGTTACAAGTTCTCTAGCAATAGTACGAACAAGGGGGCACTGAGCTTCTCGTGGCCTCAGGACTACAGATAAAACCCCACTGATTAGCCGCTGAAGGACCTGAAAACACAAAGTATTAGATGGAAAGCAGATAATGAAACCCAAAAAGGCGAAATCCACTTTCTTAAGAACTCTTCACTCACACCTTGTACTCACTCTCAGGAGACATCAGTGCAGGATGAAGCTCCTTGGAAACTATAAGATGATATTTCAACCTGTCATCCCTCTCCTCAGAAGACAGTGTTTTCATAACATCAGCACCTATAGCAGCTTGGTTTCTTCTAAAAAGGTCCAAATGATCACCTATTAAGTCAACTATGTCCCTGAAACATTTACAATTATCTACGTCACAATGTGCTTTAAGCATGTTCGTAAAGGAAAAATAAGAGGGCAAGAGGTTACCTCGTTAGCAAGTCAACAAGATTTATCTCTTTAACCCTTCCTGATATTTCACCAAGAGCATCCATTATTACAGCGCGCATCAGCTCAGGGGCTTCTCTATCTGGTGTAATTTCTGAATACCACAAATTTATCACAAAATCCTTCAGGATTTTATCGATGAAATCATTGATAGCAGCTTCAACTACAGGAGAGTCGATTTTCCTCTTCCATTTTGGTGGGGGTATAGCGCTAGAAAGACGTGAATCATTCACAGATAATTGTTTTTTCTCTAGATGAGACAAATAAGTTGGTGTAGGAGACATCCGAACTTTCCAGCTGAACTCCACTTCATTAGATAGAATGCGTAACCCACAAACAATGAGAATTGCTATGGGTAAATTCATCCACATTGATGTACTTGTATCTGCATTTAACAATGATGAAAAGAACAGAGCACCAATATATGATCAAAACCTTGCTGAAACTAGCTCGAGACATAATCTCATAACAGCCATTAGCCAACAAAAAAACAAAAAGTTCCAAATTATATTAGGGAATTAAACAATCCCTGTCGTCGGGACATGATTGCATTGACTTCAAAGCATCCACTTGTCTGTAATGAAGACGTGACTAAAATCCCATCCATTTGGCCTATAGCAAGGTTTAAGTCACCTACATTAAGTTGAATATAGCTACATCCTTAGAAGAGAACTAACTAAAGCGGCAAAAAATGCCAGCATATAGTTTTGCTTGCTTTCCAATTCCTAAATTCCTTATTTCCCAGAGATTGTATTTAGCTTCGTCCCAGTAAGAACTCGTCAAATCCCACCACTCATATTGCTTGTTTTCTAATTCCTCATTTCTGAGCAACCGAAATGGATGTTTGTCTACTTAATTGTCTAGAGTAATCAGTTTTAATCCAAAGTCCAAAATACAGAAATAACACTCACAACAACAAAATAAATACGTAATCACAGTGCTACAAACAATACAAACTCCAAGAGCAAAACCCTAACCGGACACCCCCATAGATAGCAAGTTCAGCGTAGAAGGAGCAAAATCTCCATTAAAACAGAACAGAGACAACTCACTAAGACAGATAAAACAAGAAAAACCAAAAATCGTGTTTGAGTTAACTTACGAGACAAGAAGTAAGTGACAGCAAAGATGCAAATGGCCCACCAAACTGTCCGTACTTTGGCCTCCTCGATCAGATCCTGTATTGTCTCCATCCTTTTCATTGCTTCAATTTCGATACCCTTGGAAACAGGGAATCCAATTCCGTTTCACCAATTAACACCTCTCAAAGAAAAATTCGAGAGAAATTCTCGGAATTCCAGCCCCGAAGCATCAAAAGGTCGAATCACAGGAGCTAAAGGTATGCTCCGCACCTGCTTGTTGTTTGACAAAATTTGACAATCGACTTCTCTCCCGTCGTCAATCTGCCATGAATTCTCCAGCCGACCTCCAAACAAAGCGGCATACACGAACTTTATTTTATCTGGTTTTTGTTTTATGGTTTAAAAACAAATAAAAATAAAAAAGGAAAAATTTGACCTCTCCTCCATACTCTGTAGAAATAAAAGGAAGATAGAGAGAAGACAGAGAACGGGAAAGAAGGTGGCCTGGCACTGGTAAAGTTGTTCTGTGATTCTTCCACGTATAAAGTCTTTTTCATCTCCACGCCAATATATATATATATATATATATGTATATATTTTTAATTTTTTAGGTTGGAAATTTCTTTTTTTTCTAATATATTTTAACCCATTTATAAAATTAAATACCATATAAATTAATTTTAAAAATTAATTATATAATACAAAATTTACATTATATTTTAAATCTTAATTTAATAATATTTAAAATCTTATAACGAACATATTTTGTCTCCACATGAAATTAAGAACGGAGTTTGAAGAATCAAAAACCTACTAATTCATAGAGTTATAGAACCGGTCAAACCAGTAATTAAAACTGTATATACTATATGAAGAAAAAATAAACTGTCGATTCAATACGATAGACCGCAAGAACGGTACTAAATCGATCTAAATTCTGAATACTAGATATGACTTCAAAATAACATGAGTCAACGTTCGGCCAACGAGACGATAAGAGGTAGTTTCATCGTCGAGGAAAAAATAAACCGAATCACCAGTTAAAATCCCTAAATAACCGTTTAGTGATAAAGGAGATAAGAGTGTAGATACAGTCAAACATTTTGTTAATTTTATTTTCAATTATATACAATTTTATCATATTTTGTTCGTGTTAAATAATTAAATTTACTAATTATTATCTTAATCACTAAATTAATTTGTAAAAATTTTCAAATTTTAACTATGTATTTAACATTATTCCAACATTATGATAAATCCCATAAATGTAATATACATGTATTATATACATATATATATGTATATGTGCATGTATGTATGTATGGTGAATTATGGTAAATAAATAATAGCATGATTTGGGAAGATTAAGAAAAATTTTGTCCTTAAATTATTGTAACATAATTATATGGTTTGGCAACTGGTGACAACGTGGCCAACCAGGCGGTTCTGAAAATTTAAAATAAATTATTTTACACGTACAAACCAAAAGAAATCAATTATTTGATGGTCCGAGTCAAGTAACCGACCCGGGACCCGATTGCTTCATGGGCTTGGACTTTCGATAAAGCAAACGGGCATTGTGTGCGCGGTGCGGGAGACCCGAATGTAAATATAAATGGGTCGGGCGCCCCCGGATTAAACCAACTCCATTTGAACCCTATATTTAATTTAGTTTTTTGTATAATTTAGTCCCGAATCGATAAACACTTTTAATTTACCATCGTACTTTAATTTAAATTCACATCAATTCATTTTTTATACGATCTTAGTTAGAATATATTTGAATTCTATATTTAATTAATTTTTAATATAATTCGGTTAAAACGAATGAATACTTCAATTACCATCATACTTTGATTTGAATTTATATTGATTTATTTTGATTCGATCTTAGTTAGGACCCGTTTGAATTCTACATTTAATTATTTTGTTTAAAACGGGTGTTAAGCGTGTGTACATATATCGTGTAACCATCACGACTATGTTACTAATCTAATAATAATTACATGATATTTTTCAAAAAAATAAAATAATTACCACATTTTTTGAAATAAAGAATACAAAAAAAAAAGATAAAACTTTTTTTATAATGATTTCTACATTACAATGAAATTTATATAAAATTAAAAACAAAACTTGTATGCTAAGTGATAATCAAGTTATATAGAATAAGAAGCATATATTTGAGTATTAGAACAAGAGAGGATAAAAAAATTTGAATAACTAATAAGACCGGTAGATACATAATAAAGTTGGCTTATCTCTATCTAAGGGAGAGTCACGCTAATCAACAAACGAACAGCTGTGACGTATAAAAATATATAGAAATTAGAATTCTGTTTGAATAAATTTTAGTGATTAGTAATTAACGTATGACAATGACACAAGATAAGAATGATAAAAAAAAAAAAAATTTATGTTTCGATGATTATGTATTAATGTATATTAATGACAACTGTTTGTTTGGATGATAGAATGATAGAATGATGTGGTTGTATTTTCAGTAAAATTACTAATTTATCTTTACATATTATATGTAATAGTAAATTGTATATAAGAAGTATATAATGAAAAAAAAAATAATTATATAAGAATATAATTAAATTTATATTTAAATAAATAATTATTACACATAATCAAATTAAATTTTTATATATAATAAAATAAATAATTATTATTTATATTATCATATTAATTTAATTTTAATAAAAATAAAATTATTTATATATTAGAAATAAACGATTGTAATTATATATTATTATATTAAATCTAAAATTATTTTAACACAAAAAATTAAAATGTATTTGAAATAATCCCATACCATGAATTAATTTAAGGAAAGGAGAAGAGAAATATTGTATTTATTTGAGGGTGTAACTAGAATTAAGTATATTTCATGAGAGTATAACAAAAAAAAAAATTACATGTCGGTCACATACAATTGATTCGGTAGTTTTAAGATTCATCCAAAATTTGTCAGTTGGATGTCGTTTGCTACCATCTCATCTGGTATGAAGTTGAAACAAAAATGATTTTCTCATGATCATGGAGTACTATACATTAATTGACTATCATTTATCACGATTAAACATGATATTAAGGTTAAAAATTTTACTTGGCTACTATTGACGGATAACTTACCTATGAAAACCTGGCTAAAGGAAATGGGTGTTAATATGTTGCCAAATTGCACGAGATGTGACGACGTTAATGATCTCTGTCATGTATTTTTTGATTGTGATAAAACTAGAGCGTGCTAGCAGATTTTATACATTGATTTTTAAGAAAAAAAATATGAATATTCTCATAAATGTGAAAATAACTCATACTTAATAAACCTAATCCGGATGCAAATGCAACGGAAGCCCTCAGTTTTCTATGGCATCTATGGAGCGAAACGAATGAGTTCTTATTGAATGAAAAACAGTTTGTATATCAGATATTTTTGTTTCTCATGAAAAAGTCCCTGCATAATGGAAGTAGGTGCGAGAACTCTATGATATAAAGGTTAGGCGACAACAAGTGCGGACCGCTCCATTAGAATGCTAATGTCCAGAGCCAGGGATTTTGGAAATGTAATGTTAATGCTACGATATATGAACCAGGAGTAGCGGTTGAGTTTAGTATAAGAAATTTTATTGGCCACCTGATAGTTACATTATCGAACAAATTACATGAATGTCAATCATCCTTCTAAGCTAAGCTCCTATGATGTCGAGACACTCTAAATATATTCACGATCGCATCCAAGCCCCAAACATAATAGAACTATATATTAAATTAGTTTATATTGCTGTTTTCTCTACGGAGTAAGACACTTCAGAGTTTAAATCTATAATTCAAGATTACAGATACTTATTATAAGGCCGACTAAATATAAAACTTGCGCGGATTCGTAGACAATATGACCATGTAGCTCATAAAAATGAGGCACATTTATTTAATTATATAAGATTCATAATTATCTTCCTTATAATAAAAAATAATATTTAATTTATTACAAAATTTATAACAATAAAATTATAATTGTCACAGTTCAGATCAAATAAATAGTAGTTCAGATAAATTGTGATTTGTATTTTAAATTTTAAAAATATTATTGATTAAAAATATTTTAATTAAAAATTATTTATTATTTGATATGAATCTCTGTATATATTTTTTATTT